TAATATTGCTGTTGGACAATGAGAACAGGCCAATAATCCCTCAGATCCTATCAGAGGAGCTATGTTATAGAATTAGACAAGGCTTATTCTCCTACACTTGGAAAGTTCACTTTCAGCTAAATATAATATAATTAGACAAGTCTCCAGAATTGTTTTAATGTATTTTGGAGGGGATATTTTATCTCCTCTGTGGCTCCATTCCACTCTTCTCCAGAGCTGGGATTTCATATTGCCTGGAATCTCTTGTCTGAGTATTTCTGCAACACCAGGAGGATCTCTCAGAGCTGTAGGCTTAATGCAGCATACACTGACTGTTTCTGGACAACTTTGTGCACCCTACAGTTGCTAGAATTAATTGTTTAACAAAAGTATGGTTGACCACCAACACACCATGTTTGTACAGGGATGACCTTAGGTCACTGATATGCAGAGGATGATGGGCATAGCATGACCAATGACAAAGGACAGATGTCAGAACCAAGATCCTTAACTCACAGATGTGTTGATTTCATTGTGCACAGGTTGCTAGGACAAGTGTGATCAAGTGATGCTAATGAGCTGAAAGGAAAGACGACTTCAAGCACAAGAACACTCATGAAAGAATGAGGCCAGAGAGGAAGGAGTTTGACAGCATATATCCAGGGCAGTTTGGAGAGCTTACTCTGGAGCAATAACTCAGCTCCCTTTGTCAAAGGCCACATGAAGCAAAACACTTTTCACATTATGGGCCTGGTTCAGCAACTTCTAATTATGCAGAATAGTTCTTACTTATGCAAGTATTTCAATTGCCTGTAAGACTAGTCAACATGAATAAGGAGTGCAGAATTAGACCCTCTATTCTGACTTTCTCCTTATATCAGCACCACAGAACTGACTTACATTCTTCATCTATGGAAGCTAAGGCCCCTCAACGGAATTAATTCATTAAAGATATAATTGGGGAGAAAGGCTTCACTTTAAATATTTTACAGACTAAATTTCCTTCTTTTCAATTATCTATTTTCAAAATGTAACAAATAGCTCCAATGATAATTCCTGATTGTTTTATATTTATTGAAAAACAGCACTTAATAAATACAGGTATATCTAAGTTGGTTTTCTATAAGAAGTATAACTAGAAAGCATCCTCAAAGCTATGCATTGGAAGTCTAAAAGGTATCTAAGAACTGAATAGCTCTGGGTTTTAGAAGTGGTGTATAGAGCTTTGCATTCATTATGTCACTGGTTCACATATAGCCTGGGTCAGTAGTGATTTCAAGTTATCATTGAATTGCTATCCCGTGACCTGTATGAAACGAGTTAGTGGCTTCAGTCCAGTTACGAGTGGACAGCTGTCCACATCACAAAAATTACCACCACATTTATTCTGATTGGCCCTCTTGCTGGAAGTCTCATCTGAAAAGTAAGGATTTAATGGGCCATGGAGGGCTCATAAACTAATTAAAGGGATACTACCCAATTAATATACACTCCAATATCACATCAGCCAGTTCCCCTGCACTCATGAGCTTTCCTTTCATTTTGATCTGTTCTATCAGCTTTTCTTGGGATCTTTACCTGGGAGTGAAGGATGGATTTGAAATACATTTTGAATTACCAGTGTAGGCTTTTGGTACATCCAGCTTTCAGAATCTTTGCTTTATTTCTTTGTTACTTGTCTGACTTTGTTTTGTTTTTTATACCTTAATTAGGCTTGTATATCACTCCATATTACACATGCCCACAAAGCAGCTGTGTGAAATACAGCCTGGGCTTTCAGAATCCCCACCTCTAAACCAAGTTTAGTCATTACAAATCAAAATGAAAGGGGGAAATAAAACCTTTGGAAGGAGAGAAATTCAGCTTCTAAATAACCATGAAATTTGTCTTTATACATTAATGACTGCTTCCAAGAGGGCCAATAAAGTCTTTTGTCAGCAGCCCAAAAGTGCAAAGATCTTTGATGTGTATTTGTGTAGGTCATGTGTTTAAACGGGACACCCAGAAATTCTGTGCTGGCAAAATTCTTCCTCATGGACTTTGCAAGAATAAAATTAAAATCTGTGGTCCTGTTTTATCTTTGGGGTCACACAACTGAAGTGAATTGAATTACATCAGGGATGAATTTGGCCCATTTTGTTTTAGGTTTAGGAAGGATCTAAGCTTAGGGTGTTCAAAGTGAGACTCAGGAACAAGCTAATCTCTGGTTTATCATTGACAATCCTATGACTTTACTAGTCCTGACTGAACTCAGAAGAAAAGCTTGATATAAACAGAGCTATATAGGATTAAAAGTTTCTAGCTACCTTGCTCAGTCAAAGCTTCACGCAAGATGGGCCTCTAAATCTGTGTTGTTTTGTTTTTTAATGGACAATGTTTAGATAGTTTACTTTCTGTGTAATATGTCCTCTGCCAATAAACTAAAATCTTCCAAATGATTCCTAAAGGGGAGTTGTAAGAGCCTGGAAGTGCAGAGATGCTTAGGAAAGGGTAAAACTGGCCCCTGGCCCCTGTCTGTTATTCACGTCATATATGGGTCACACTTTGTAGTATGATCCCATTTATATATGGTTTACAAAGGGTTAATAAATGATTAATGGATGTTATAAGCACATTGCAAACATGAGTGGAATGTTTTATACATGGTTATAAGCACATCAATAAAGGTATTAGAGATTGTTTTAAACCATGGTTATTAGTAACTTATTGATGTGTTGAACACTCTAATAATTGATTAATGATCTATTAAAACATCTGTGAACTATTTATTAACTCTTTTTTAAAATGGAACCTCAATATAAAATATGACCCAGATATGCTTACGGTACTAACAAGAAGATTTTATTGTCTTCGGCCCTCCAGAGCCAGTATCCTGTTGCTGCCAAAGAACAAGATGAATTCTGGTCTCCTTCCTGCGACATCAGCCAAAGTGGTAGGTGAATTCTTATTACAGAATCATTATTGCTGGTTCCACTTGAAGATGATGTTCGAAGCCAAAGGAGCCCGGACTGGTTTTCAGAGACCAGGAACACTTTAAGTTACGGGAACTAGTAAGATTTGTTGTTGACTTGTCAAGTAATTGAATTTAATCCAGTGGGTCCTTGACAGGAAATAAATAATGGGGCACAAAGTTGCCATTGCTTTTGCCATCACTTTTGTGGCCATAACTACATTTATTATTCATTCATCTGAATTAATTGATGTAGAAGGTGCTGCTTTGAAACCCTGGAGACTGAAGTCCTCTATTAATTCACAGAAGAGGTTTAACCCTGTGCAAACTTCCCCTCATGGCCCTGCTAATGGGCCACAACCTAGAAGGACCACTTCAAGGGGTAGAAGGGATTTCAGTCTCCATTGCCATTCATTCCTTGATTGTTCTACTGAGGCTGCCAACTAAGATATGGATTAGTGCCAGATACTGTGGACATTTTTGTGATGTGGACACACCTGTTCACTAAGAACTGAACTGACAACCTGAACTGAACCTCCTTTCACACAGGTCCCCAATTGCTTTCCAAACTCTGATGTTGACCTAAGAGTAAAAACAGGTTTTCTCTTGTAAAATGTTTGTAAGATTTTTTTTCTTCACAAAACTCAAAACCTATTGAACTTGACAAAGTGAACTGTTCAGCAGAGGAAAGGCAGCCAAATGGTCTAGTGGAAGGAACATGGGTTCTAGTCCTGGTTCTGCTGTCTGATCTTGGGTAAGCCTCTGTGCCTATTTCCCATCCTACTCTGTCTTGTAAGCATTTTGGGACTCTTTCTGTGAACGTACAGTGCCTAGCACAATGGGGCCTCTAGGTGATACTTTTCAGAGTAGCAGCCATGTTAGTTTGTACTCGCAAAAAGAACGGGAGGACTTGTGGCACCTTAGAGACTAACACATTTATTTGAGCATAAGCTTTCATGAGCTACAGCTCACTTCATCAAGCTCACGAAAGCTCATGCTCAAATAAATTTGTTAGTCTCTAAGGTGCCACAAGTCCTCCTGTTCTTTTTAGGTGATACTGTAATTTAAATAATAACGAGAAGGGGGTTGGGAGGGGAGAGGTGTCTGTTATAACACGCATCTACTTCATGTGGGTGGTTTATTCTTTCCAAAGCGATACAAATGTTATGAGATTCCCTTGCTTTTCCAGAAGAGATTGAGACCCATCTTTCCTGTCCCTTTTCTATATTGCATGGAGGGACTCCAACAAACCCACTGATGGGTGAATTATTTTCCCTTCACTGCAAGCTCAATAAGAAAATAGAGTGTACCCCAGTGATGTATTCTTGTACATTTCAACAGCAGGACAGATACTGCTGCATTCTACCGCCTCAGCCAAGGGGAGTGAGAGTAGATAGCATGAATGTGAAACTGTCACAACAAACCAGTTTTTGCAGTGTTGTAGCTCTGTTGGTCCCAGAGACAAGGTGGGTGAGGTAGTATCATTTATCAGACCAATTTCTGCTGGTAAAAGAGACCCGCTTTTGATCTACACAGAGCTTGTCTTTAGGTCTGGGAAAGGAAATCAGAGTGTCACAGGTAAATACAAGGTGGACCAGGTTGTTAAGCGATTGTTACCTTCCCATTGCATTTGGCCTGGTCTCTTGCAATATGTATTAACTTCATATGCTTAACAATCTGTTCCACCTTGTATTTAGTTGTGATACTGCTTATCTTTCACAGGCCGGAAGCAGAGCTCTCTAGCTCTATGTAGCTTGAAAGCTTGTCTCTTTCGCCAACAGAAGTTGCTCCAATAAAAGATATCAGCTCACACACCTTGTCTCTTTTATAACAAATGAGGACACCACGGGGCAGTGTGACAGACCCAGTTGCAGGATGCCTTCTCTTTCCTGACCCTGGCACAGCCACCCTCTTCAGGAGCAGCCTTATCCTCTTTGGGGTGAAGAAATGTGCAGTTTAGAGGAAACCATGATGATCCCTAGCTTTGCTTTCCCAGCAAACAGTGGGCCAGGTCCCCAGCTGGGGCAAAGTGCCCTACCTCCCTGAAGTCAATGGGACTGCACCCACCCTCTGAGGCTCTGGCTCATGTTTCAGGACCAAGATACCCTCCTCCTATGCCCACCATGCCTTCCCCAGACACTTTGTGAGCTCTCAATCTGCCCCTTGCCCTATCCCTGCTCCCCTTGACACAAGCATTTTCTGGACCTTCCAGGCCCTGATGCAGAGACTCTGGGCCAAATCCCGCTGTGGCCCACTGTGTCCATGGGTGGAGGGGAACGTGTGTGTGTGAGCGAGCCAGGGGTTTCGCAGGGTCCATACAGCCGGAGGAGGACAACGGGCAGAGATCTCGCTGCAGCTGGTCGCGTTCTGCTCGGCTGCATGCTCCGGGCTGATCAGACCCCTCCGCCGCAGAGAGTCGAGCAGCCACGGGTGGCGACTGGGGAAAGTGGCGGCCCGGTAGCCGCATTAGGGGAAGAATCTCTTTGGTGATTGGGCGCCATTGTTCCCTTTGTGACGGGGGCTGTATAAATAACCGGCCCTGCGGGGAGCCCGCTACACTCGCCCAGCCAACGAGGGGGACGGGGGGCGGCGGGGAAGTTTGTCTCCGACCCAGTGCACCCGGGCCCCTTGTGACTGCGCCGGGCAGCAGCTGCCCCAGCAGCGGGGAGCCCCACCCCGGAGCCGCTGGCGGGGGGGAAGCAGGTGGCACGTCTGGCTGCTCCATGGATTCCGATGTGGCCTCCACATCCAGCCGAGCATCGTCCCCAGAGCTGGAGGAAGCCGGCAGCCCCGAGCTCCCGCCCAGCCGAGTGTTCGAAGCCCTCTGCCGGGAGCCAGGGGCTCCCCAGCGGCGGCCCGGGGAGCCCAGCCCCAGCGGCCCGGCCGGGGGGAAGCCCCGGGCCAGCCGGCAGGAGCAGTCGGGCGAGCAGCAGCGGCTCAAGGTGAACAGCCGCGAGCGCCGGCGGATGCACGACCTGAACCAGGCGCTGGACGGGCTGCGGGAGGTGATGCCCTACTCGCAGGGGCCGGCGGTGCGCAAGCTCTCCAAGATCGCCACCTTGCTGCTGGCCCGCAACTACATCCTCACGCTGAGCAGCTCCCTGCAGGAGATGAGGCGGCTGCTGAGCGAGCTCCACGCCGGGCCCCGCAGCCACCCGCTCCCCCAGGCCCGCCCCATGCACCCCGCCGCCGGGGCGCAGAGCCTGCCCCCCGCCGCCTGCTCCCTGGCAGCCGCAGCGGGGTACCCGGGCTGCCGACCGGCTCCGCAAGAGACTCACCGCACGGCAGCGGGGCCCCTGGGCCCCTTTTACAGACACTACTCCGGCTTGCCCTGCCTCTGCTCCGTGTGCCAGGCCGCACCCCAGGAGCTGCCAAGGACGGCCGCCGCCCCGTCCTGCCTCCGGGCAAGCAAGTAACGCCGGAGGCTTACCCTGGCCGCAGAGACCCAACGCCAAGGCGTTAATAGGGTCAGCGCCGCAGAACGGGCACCGCTCTGACAAGGAGAGTCCTTGGGCTGGGGGGGGGGGGGATGGGATAGCGCTATCGGTGCCCTTCCATTTACAAACCTCGCCAGTCTCCTCCTGATCGTGTAACTGACACTTATCCCCTCAAGACTCTGCGACACGCTCTGTATCCAAACCTGCAGGCAGCCGGAACCCTAGGACAGTTCCCAAGGCTGGTGAGAGAAGAGCTTGACTGAGGTGGCCATTCAGCTGTGACACGTAGCTTTGCCTTTCTTCAGTAAATGCAACGTACCTGGAATTTTCATTTTTACTGATAATAAATATAGTCATCTTAGTCAATGGATTTGGCAAACCGGTCTCCTATTTTGAAAGTTCCTTAAGAGTTTCATTTGGGCTGGGAGAACTTAGAAAAAATGTTTCAGAGAGAGAGAGAGAAGAATGGGGGGGGAGGGGGGATAGGCTAGGCTAGGAGAGAAAAAGAGCTGAAGGGTTTGGAAGAAAGTGAAACCAATTAGCCCAAGTTTCCCATATAGAAGCCTTGGGAATTTATATTAGATTTCATTTAAACAGTCCTGAAGGTTCTCCTAAATGCTTTAACTCCATGATTGCTTATAACAGCTATTAAAATAAACCTAAGATCCAATACAGGGCAAATGAATCTGACAGATATCCAAGCACCTCCGCTCCCACTTTAGCTAATCTTGAAGAATTACTACTTGTTGATAATTTTGTATTGTTTATATTTCATTGTAAATATGCCATGCAAAGAACAGATTCCCTGCCAAGAAGAGTTTCCATTCCAAGGTGCATTTTTTCAAGCACTCAGACAAACTCAAATTATTTCAGGTTTAGGGAACTTCACAAAAAACAGGGGAGCTACAGTTTGGTGGGTTTTGGCTCACAGTTACACTGTGAAAGGTAGACTGTTTCTTGACTATTAAGGGATTTCCCACAGTCTTTCAAACGCTTCTTGTTTCCTGATGCTTATCTTTCTTATCTTATCTTATGATGCTTATCTTTCAGGTCAAGTCCTTTGATGTGCTAGCACTATATACATCTGTGTCCCATGCATGAAGAGTTCTGTTCTGTAACCCAGGGAGCAAGCAATTGCTGTGTCATAGGGCTACACAGTTAGGGCTGGGTCCAAGGGTACGGACCTGGGGCAGTAGGTATTTTGGAGCTCAGACTTAGTATCTGAACTTTTATTGTGGCAGGACAGGTGGTCAGATGCCTCACTGATGGGGCCCATACAGTACCTAGATAGACAGAATCCATGATGTGATGATTTATACCTTCTGGCTACAAGCATTTAAATAGTAAATATTTGTATCATTTTCAAAAACTTTAGTGGGCAGAAGTACTGATCTACTTTTACAATACACCTGACAAGTTCAGAAGAAGATTTCAGATCAGGTTTGCAGCTAGCAGCCACGCTGGAAACACATTAGGGCTAGTCAACACGTAAGACTTATACCAGCATAGCCATAATGGTGAGGAGTGTGATTTTTTTTAACAGTAAAGCTATGACAGGATAGTGTAGATGCCGTTATACCAGCATAAAAGTCCTTTTGTCAGTATAGTTTATGTCTCTTGGGCAACTGGTATAAATTATGCCGGCAGAAGCATATGCCGGTATAAACAGTGTCTATACTATGTGGGTTTGCCAATATAGCTATACTGATATAGCTATCCCAGCAAACTTTTCTAGGATGCCTAAGGCCTCCAAATCCACAGCCCAAACTCAGGGCACTGTAACTATGGGAATTTTAGGAGTGGCATAAATCTGAAGCAGTGTCCATTAAACACGGATACTCAGCTACAGGTCTGGAGAGGTTTCCAGTTTCTCCGAGGCGCTGTAGAATTACGGATCTCCTATCAATCAAAGGGGTCAATATAAGATGTCTCCTGAAAATGCATTTAAGCTTCTTAGGAATTGGAGAAGAAAGGGTTAAGTTATTTAAAAAAAAACCTGTCAACCTTCCTTCACAGGGTAACTATTTTCTTGATAAAAATGGCTTTGCTGCTGGAAAGGCCCTTGGAATTACCTGACAGAATATCTCATTGAGATCTGCTCAGCTTCACTTTGTGACCCTCTAATCATCTCCGGAAATGCTCACAATACACCCTGATGATTCAATGCTAACTACTATCCATGCATCACATAATCATCTGTTATATTTCTGTAGCACCTTTCATCCTGAAGACTCCCAAACCACTTTACAAAAATATATAAACTATACAGACATTGCACCCACCTCTGAAATTCAGCCATCTCTGGGGTAGAACAAGCAAGGTGTTTAACGCTGAACAGGGGCTCTACATGACAGATTCAAGCAGGAAGCGCAGGAGACAGCCATGTGAAGTTACAGGGGGATTCAGGGAAGCAGTCAGTAATTGCTTGATCTGGAATTTGACCAGGGTACTGGGATTAAACACTCCTACTCTTGCAGAAACGGGATTACAGGATGGCAGTTTTACATCTCATCTGAAAGACAGTCCCACCAGCAGTGCCCTTGATGCTGTTCTGGGCCATTGGTTTAATACTAACTCAAAGGAAACAATGCTTCCCATTGAATCACCAGCACCAAATCCTGCAAACCTAGATAGTCCTCACTATTACATACTACTGTAATAAACATCATGCTACTTACCTAGGCCAACCCTGCATAGCATGAGATCTGACATATCCTAACATAAAATGGCCATTAAGCCTTTTCTCACTTGCTGTCTCCCTTCATATATCACTGAAGAGATAGTGATTTTAAAATACTGCTGCATTCTACGCTAATAATCCAAATCACCACGCTTCACACTAGTGTTTTGGGCCACTACTGTACAATACTGCTCTACTGTTATTGCAGGAGGGGTCTCCATGGAGTACAGAGAAGGGAGAAGCCTGAAATTAAGGCAGAATTTGAACACTGTGGGGACATTTCTGATTTAACACATTTTTGGAAACGCGCAAGTGTCTGGGTAGGAATGGGCTGGGAGGAAATATACTGGTGTTCAAATCACTCCCGGCAAATATATACAATACTATGTAAATCTTTATTTTCTTCTTGTTTTGCAGCCATTTCCAATGCCCTTAGAGTCCATGATAGTTTTCCCACTCAAATGCTAAGAGCCAAGAGGGTGTCTTAACATATGCTTTAGAACAGGGAACCCTCGGTTTGATGGGTTTTCCCTGACTTTCATTGTGGTGTGCAGCTATTCATCATTTTACTCTGGCTTCCCTACCCCACCGTTATCTCTGGTGCTTAGTTTGTCTGATCCATGAGGATATGAGTGTCTTCCTTAGAAGCCCAAACAGATGCCACACACTGCATCTGAGAAGGAGTAATGTCAGGGTGATCTCTGTAGCTAGCCTCCTTCTCCTCTAGATAGCACAATCCTATGATATTGTCACCAGATTCCAATTCATTGGGTGGAGCACAAGTTTCCCAAACCCATCCCCAAGTCTGGGGAGAAGGTCAGATGCCAACATCTCATCTAGGCTTCTTGATGAGATTTTTCATATTGTATTTGCTCCTGCTGTGTCATGGAGAAAAATACACTAGTCAAAGGTAACTGGGGCAAAGGCTCCAAAAGTTTATTTCCTTATTTTTAATGTACTGAAGATGATCAGTGCTGAGCTGTCAGCTACAACATAAGCAGCAACTGAGCAGGCTTCCTTCATGCGGTTCTTCATACTGTCCAAATAATGTGCTTTGACTCTGCAATGGAAGGAGTACCAAGAGAGGCGAAATGGTATTTTTCTTCATGGCCCATTCAATTCTTGTCCCTGAGAATGACAACAAGGGCTCTTCATTTGGGGGCGTGGTAACTAATGAAGAGGACAGAGCAATCTGGATCAGTTGATAAACGGGGCGCAAGCAATGTATGTTTAATTAGGTTAAATATAAAGGTATACATCTAGGAGCAAAGAATGTAGGTCACAGATACACAGTGCAGGACTCTATCCTGGGAAGCAGTGATTCTGAAAATGATTTGCGGGGGAAGGGAAATCATGGTGAACAGGAGATCTCAGTGTGATGCAGTGGCCAAATGGGTTCACATTGTAAAGAGAGTGGTCACTTTGGATGGGCTATTACCAGCAGGAGAGTGAGTTTGTGTGGGGAGAGGCGGAGGGTGAGAAAACCTGGATTTGTGCTGGAAATGGCCCAACTTGATTATCATACACATTGTAAGGAGAGTGGTCACTTTAGATAAGCTATTACCAGCAGGAGAGTGGGGTGGGAGGAGGCATTGTTTCATGGTCTCTGTGTATATAATGTCTTCTGCAGTTTCCACAGTATGCATCCGATGAAGTGAGCTGTAGCTCACGAAAGCTTATGCTCAAATACATTGGTTAGTCTCTAAGGTACCACAAGTACTCCTTTTCTTTTTGCAAATGGGTTAATGACATCCTTAGATGCATAAACAGGAATCTCAAGTAGGAAGAGAGAGGTTACTTTACCTGTGTGTTTGGCACTGGTGCAACCATCGCAGAAATATTATGTCCAGCTGTTCTAGTGTCCACAAATCAAGAAGGATGATGATATTGGTTCAGAGAGGAGCCACAAGAATGATTAAAGGATTAGAAAACCTGTCTTCTAAAGATGAATACATTGAGCTCCTTGAGTTTATTTTAACAAAGAGAAGGTTAAGGAGTGACTTGATCACAGTCTATAAATACCTACAGGGGGAACAAGTATGTGATAATGGACTCTTCAATCTAGCAGAAAAAGGCATAATATGACCCAATAGCTGGAAGTTGAAGTTAGACAAATTCAGACTGGAAATAAGACATACATTTTTAACAGTGAGGGTAACTAACCATTGGAACAATTTATCAAGGGTTGTAATGGATTCTCCATCACTGGCAATTTTTAAAACAAGATTGGATGTTTTTTCTAAAAGACCTGATCTAGGAACTATTCTGGGACTGTTCTATGGTTGTGTTGTACAGGAGCTCACACTCAGTGATCAGAAAGGTCCCTTCTGGCCTTGGAATCTCTGAATCAATCTCTGTGGTGGTCGTGAGCACATGTCCACTAGCAATGGTTCTGAGACCCAATTCATTCTGGCATAGATCCACCGAACAGCCAACAGCTGATAATAACTCAGTAACTATTGACATATACTGTCTTCAGACAGCATCCTAGAAGAGGAAAGGCTTCCTAGCCAATTAGCTATCTCCTGAGCCAGCCAGCCACCCAAACCCAGAATTGGATTATTGGTTGTTTAAGTGCCAAATTGTTCAATGCTATACAGGACACAAGAATAAAAACAGTCCCAGCCCCAGAGAGCCTCTGGGGTTTCTTCTACCTTGGCCAAGATATAGAAGTTATAGCAAAAAAGCATATCTTAATTACTATTAATTTTATCTTTACTTCAGATTCTTCAGGTCACTGCCATATTCCTGAGCTCAGGACCTGATTTGCATAAAAAAAATCTAGCTCATGCTGGAATAGCTGGTTTTGAGAACGGACCAAACTTCATGCATTGATTACAGAGACTTCAGCTTTAAATCAATGGTCGGGGGGTGGGAAGGAAAGAGAAAAACCTGCTAATGATGAACTGGGGACAATGGTTATTTGCAGGGCTCATGTATCATACAAGCAACAACTGTTTCCAAAAAGGCTTCATTTTTATTAACGAGCCCTAGGCCAGCCAAGGGACTGATGTCTCCAGAACAAAAGCTGTTAAAAGGGAAATTTATGGACTGGTTTTGATAGTGTGCACATGGACGCCTGCCTCCTTTTGTAAACCATGGCTCTTTAATAAATCACATGAGTGAGCCTGAAAAGCAAAAGCCAAGGGTGGCAGCTGGGAGGGATGGCCTAAAGGCCCCTTTGCGGAGTCAGCAATTCAGATGTCACCTGGTTCCTTTGCATCTCCTAGTCACTTCTCCAGAATCATCTCATGAGAGAAGAAAAACAAGGAGACATGATCCCCAAGCATAGCAAGGTTCTGCGATAAACATGCTCAGTTTTTACAGTAAAATGAACCCTCAGTCCTCACCAACTTTGGGATCTGGATGGGGAGAGACTAAAGCAGGAATGACTTAATAACTTGCATGATAAAGAGCATGACCCCTGGGAATCTGCCAGCATCTAATAGCACCACATGGTCTTTGAAACACAAACATTGTGCAATTCAACATTTCCCCAAATGTCCAGTGAACTAGTCCCCATCCCCTCCTAAATTCACCCAGATGGGCAAAGGATGAAATCACTAGTTAATCAGCAGTGTAAAAATTAAGCACAATTCCTGACATGCAGGCACATGGCAGTCTCTTGTTGGGATAATGAGAGTCACTGACCCATGAGAAGCTGTCACTCAGCTAGTAATCTGAAGCAGATGGCGTGAATTCATTGGCCATTTAATAGCCAAGCATGTCTCCTGTTCTGCATGAGGCATTCCCTCTGGAGTGGGGTGTGTGTATATGGACAGAGAGGGAGCACAGAAACGTGAACATGTTCTCCTCTGTTACCAGCACAGGACAGCCTTGCTCCTTGTGCATCATCCCACTACTTGAAATCAGCTGGGACATATTACTAGCAGTCCCCAGGTCTGAATTCCTTGGCAGGGGCTGGAGGAAGGGCCTTATCAGTGGGGTGAGGGTAGCCTTGGCTCTGGAATCCAATTACTCCATTGGTTTGACAGAGCCAATTTGTTGACCTGGAGGGTGTGTTGCAAGATTTACCTGTTTGCTCAGGCTTACCCTGGCTCAGTTGAGTTCCTTTGCAAGTTGGGGGGAGGAAGGAATTATTTCCTAAACTGACTTTGCTTAGTTTTGTTCTCTTATTTGTGGTGTTGCAAGGCAGTTGTAAATGCAGCCAGCAATTGTGACAGGCACACAGAACTGAGTTAGTAACCTTGCCTCTGTGTGTGTAAACTGGTGTCTATGAAGGAGCAGCTGGTGATGAGCGTATATGGTATGTAGGGGCATTTTGCAGTTTGCTCTGTAGATTCCTCCTCCCCTTTGCTGCCTTTCTAGTGCCAGGACAGTGCGTGAAAAAGAGAAACCAGTGGAGATGCTCTATTTGAAGTATCCTTTTCTCTTCTTGAGAGAACCTGGGGTACTGTTTTACAACATCTGAGGGGAGGGTAAGATGCATCCTGTCTTCATATTTTGCAGAGGAGGGTTTTCTACCCCCCAGCAAAATATGACCATAATTCTTCCATTTTATGCTACCTCTGAGACTGTTCCATCTTGGGACACAAAGTTAAAAGACTTGCTACCAACCCATGCAGGCTACTGAGGCTGAACTCAACAAAGTACGTATGAATGTGAGAATGCATTGGACAGGTGTGCCAAGGTGATGAGAGCACAGCAATGGGGCTTTCTGGACACAGTGACCACAGAGCCATTTCCACTGGGCACAATATCAACGCAACCAGAGAATAACCAGTAAGTCAGAGCAAAATTGGTAGGAGTCCAATCACCATTGCAATAGAAATGTTTATGAAGCATCATCTGGGTCTCTCTTTTCTCTCTCTCATTCCTAGCCGAAGATCAAAAAGTACAGGATGCAAAAAATTCACTCCTAAGCTGAAACCAAAAGCCAGTCCTGAGACCATGAAGACCGCAACTCCTGCGCTCAGCACTTCAGGATCAGACATCCGGCCCTTCATGAGGATGCACCAAATAGGAGTATTTAGTGAATCAAACATTTTGTGGGTGCTGGGAGGTTTGTCTTCATCACAGCCTTGCTGTCGGAGGGGGGGGGTGGTTTTTCCATGGCTTTCTTTTCGCTCATGGCTGCGCTTCTGAGCTAATTATGAGGACCACAGCTGTGCTCTTGCTGACACAGAAGCGCGGCCACTGAAGTTGTTCCCCTGAGGGAAGATGGGACATGAGGTTTGCCTGCAGCAAAGAAAGAGAGTAGAAAGCCGTACAGTGGAAACGGTGCACGCATCACCACCAACATCCTAACTACCTCTGGCAAGCCCGCTCCCGTGGGGAAGCTCTTGCTGCTGGATTCCTTGTTGATTTTGGCAGCTTGCTGCTGTAGCTGGGATCATAGCGGTCACCGCTCTGAGGAAGCGCGCTCAGCTGCGGCACTAGCTGCCCGGCACAGAGGAAGCTGCTGAAAGAAATCTCACGCACTGCCGGAGTCCCCGATGATGCTGTGACACATCAACTTCACTCTTCCAGTAATTATTTCCTATATAAAGTTATATTACTGTTAAGCAAACTAGAGAGATAAGGTGCGTGAGGGCTTGTCTTTTATTGGGCCAACTTCTGTTGGCGAGAGAGACCGGCTAACCAGCTTACGCGGCGGCAAAGAGCCCTGTGGCACCCTACAGACTAACAGACGCATCGGAGCAGGAGCTTTCCGGAGCGACTACCCGCTTCTTCAGCGGATTGTAGGAATACCTGAGCCCCTTCTGGCTAAGCGCAGAGGTAGGGGAGACAGGCTGGCACCGCCAGGTGGGGCAATTGACAGGCAGAAGCATGGTCCCGAGGTTAGGGGACGCAGCAGCCAGCCCCGGTGGGGGGTGGGTGGGGGGGATATTAACTGGGAGAGCAGAGAGGGAAAGGGGACCCAGCAAGACGGGAACCCAAGGGGACGGGATGACCCCCGGGGACGGCTTGAGAAACCAGGGAGCGGCCAAGGCAGCAGGCAGGGGACCCCCCTCCCCCGCCGGGTGGTGGGAACAAACCAGGCGACCCCCCCAGAAGCGGACCCGCGCGGGGTCCCGCAGCGGGGGGGGGTGGGCAGGGGCTCCCAGCAGCGCTGTGCGGGGGGGACCGGCCCGGGGAGCCCCAGGGGGGTGGGGAGGGAGGACCCCGGGGTAGCGCCCGGCGGGGGGGGGACGCCCCCCCCGGCCATAGGCGGGCGCTGGGGAGCGGAGGCCCCGCCTCCCTGGGGCGGCCGGGCGGGGGTCGCCGGGCCCCGGGCCCCCGCTCCCGGCGGGCGGGGCGCTAATATTGAGCGCGCGCGCGGAGCTGCCCGGCCGACGCTCGATCGCTCTCGACCCTCCGCAGCCACCGTACCCGTTACCGGCCCGAGCCCCGCGTGCACGAGGACGTGACGTTGCCGCTGGGCGGCGGCCCCCGCGTGACCCGCCCCCGCTGGGCGGTGGCTAAAAATAGCCCGCCCAGGAGGCGGGGCGTCTGGCGTCAAAGGTCAGTAAATACTGGTGACGTCAGGCGTCCAAAATGGCGGAAGGGTGAGAGTAACGCAGAGCGGGGGGGCGGTGCCTTGGCGGTGGGGGAAGGGATCTGAGGGGGGGGGGGCGCGCCCTTGTGCGGGAGGGGTGGGGGGCAGAGCGGGGTGGGAAGGGATTGGTCTGTGCGGGGAAGGGAGGAGTGGGGGTAGGAAGGAGTCTGGTTATGTGAGGTTGGGAGGCAAAGGGGCTGGGAAGGGAGCTGGCTGGGGGGGCAGAGGGGGTTGGGTGGGAAGGAGCTGGCTGGGGGGGCGGTGGGTGGGAAGGGAGCTGGCTGGGCGGGGCTGGGGGGGAGAGGGGGGGGTGGGAAGGGAGCGGGCTGGGGGGAGAGGGGGGTGGGTGGGAAGGGAGGGGGGGGGGGGTGGGTGGGAAGGAGGGGCTGGGGGGCGGTGGGTGGGAAGGAGCTGGCTGGGCGGGGCTGGGGGGAGAGGGGGTGGGTGGGAAGGGAGCGGGCTGGGGGCGAGGGGGTGGGTGGGAAGGGAGCGGGCTGGGGGGGCAGAGGGGGTGGGTGGGAAGGGAGCGGGCTGGGGGGCAGAGGGGGTGGGTGGGAAGGGAGCGGGCTGGGGGGCAGAGGGGGTGGGTGGGAAGGGAGCGGGCTGGGGGGCAGAGGGGGGTGGGTGGGAAGGAGCTGGCTGGGGGGCAGAGGGGGGTGGGTGGGAAGGGAGCGGCTGGGCGGGGCTGGGGGGAGAGGGGGGTGGGTGGGAAGGAGGGGGGGGGGAGGGGGGGTGGGTGGGAAGGGAGCGGGGGGGGGGGGGGGTGGGTGGGAAGGGAGCTGGCTGGGGGGCGGTGGGTGGGAAGGGAGCTGGCTGGGGGGGCTGGGGGGGAGGGGGGTGGGTGGGAAGGGAGCGGGGGGGGGAGAGGGGGGGGTGGGAAGGGGAGCGGGCGGGGGGAGAGGGGGTGGGTGGGAAGGGGGGGGGGGGGAGAGGGGGTGGGTGGGAAGGGAGGGGCTGGGGGGGAGAGGGGGTGGGTGGGAAGGGAGCGGCTGGGGGGCAGAGGGGGTGGGTGGGAAGGGAGCGGGCTGGGGGGCGAGGGGGTGGGTGGGAAGGGAGCTGGCTGGGCGGGGCTGGGGGGGCAGAGGGGGGTGGGTGGGAAGGGAGCGGGCTGGGGGGGCAGAGGGGGGTGGGTGGGAAGGGAGTGGGCTGGGGGGGCGGTGGGTGGGAAGGGAGCTGGCTGGGCGGGGCTGGGGGGGCAGAGGGGGGTGGGTGGGAAGGGAGCGGGCTGGGATGGGGTGAGGGTAGGAGGGAATTTGGCTGTATAGAGGAAAGAGTGTTATGGTGTGGCAGAAACCATGGGAGAAATGGAGAGTATGTCTTGTGATGGGGGTTGTTTCTCTCGGTTGGGAGCAGGAGAGGCTTAGAAACATGGTCTGGTTAAAATCCAACCAGTTTAAAAACCAGCCAGGTCTGCCTTTCTCACTGTTACTGACTCTCCCTGAGATGATTAAACTAAGGGGGACTGACCCCTCTAATTTCCCTGCTTCCTTTTGGGGTTGAGTTTATTCTGCGGGGCCGCAGAGATGGCTTAGTTCATACTGTGGGTCTCATGCCACAGCCTGGGGTGCAATGTGTGGGCTGGAAATGCTGCAGGGGTGGTTTGCATTTAATTGCAACCCTTATGGATCTTAAACCTTTGAAAGGAGAGTTGCTGGGTAGGAGGGGTAGGTTCTTTGAAGGCCCAAAGGGTTTGAACAGAGCAAAGCAGTGGCTGTAGCTTTTACACATGCTGGGGTATGTATGTATGTATGGTTTAATGGACTCCTTGGTGTGAATTTATAATGTGAAATTCACAATTTCAGCTTCATATGTTTGTCCTGTAACAGGGAAGATGGAGGCTGGTGGAGAAGCTGGTTGCAGCAAAGCTACCAGACTGTCAAAGAGAAGGTAGGAGGTTGCTTGTATGGAACAGGACAAGCTATTGCTTGAGGAAAGCTTGCATCTTCCCATAGAAAAACACAATAGTTTATTTGGATTTCTCACTCTTCTTGTGGGTTCTTCTGTAACCCGAGCAAATCAGGCCCAGTAAGGAGCCTCTTATAGGGGTTTTCTGTTTTGCTGTGTAATCCTCTTCCCTATGGAAATTCTTCCTGATTTCTACATTGTTTTTTAAAGTAACCTATGGGACTGAGTCACTCTGTGAATGTCCTTTTCTCCCGCTGGATTGTAGCCTGGTGTTTGACATACGCTGGGCATTAGCCATGATGTGGGTATTATCATCTTCAATCTGCCTACATGCTCTCTGTTGCCTTCTAAAAATGCACTTAAGCAACTACGCAGTTCAGGGGTAAGGCAGCCATATTGCAGTGCAGAACTTTATTCCGTCACTTATGATTAGTATAAAGTAAGCTGTGAAATGTTGGTTGAGCCCCTGATAGCAGAGAGCGTGGCTACTCTGCAAAGTTATGAATTATCTAGTGGCACTTAACCTAAAATTTCCCTTCTTAACAATGTCGTGTGAGATGCCCTGTACTAGCCAGTTGCTGCAGTTCCCCCCAGAGCTGGCTGTGTTTGTTATGAGAGGCTTTGGGATCCTTTGGCCTGGAGAGTCCTGTGTTAATGTAAAATGTTATTCTAGTAATTGTTCAGTTCATTACTTCTATGTTACCATCTACTCTTGGGGAAAATCTGTTTACTGGAAAGTTTTAACTTAGTCTTATCCAAACAGAAACCCTGTCCTCAGATGTTGAGCTGCGAAGAGTCACTTGAAAGCTTGAACTAGATTGTAGTTATAGATCTGCACTTTGGAAAGGCCTCTTGTTCTGGAGGCAGTGGGGAGAAGAATGCCCAGAGCATACTGCCCCCCACAGCAACTCGCAAAGGCATGAGACTGAGAAGTTCAGCTACACTATGATTGAAACTAGGCAACATGTGACTCATCCATATATTTGCAGCTTTCATTCAAAGGCTATTGAAACAATAATAAAGGAGCCAAGAAAAAGTGTGGTTTAAAAAAAAATAAAAATCCGATCGCTTTGCTATGTCTAAAGTTATCCCTGTAGATCTGTGCACTAGCAACAGCTTTTGTTAAGGCCCTGTCAGCACTACGGCATCGATCACCTCTAAACAGTCTGGAAACGTGATTACAGCACTGCTGTTAGAATGTGCGCTGGCGTGTCCATGACAACGAAGGAGCCAGGCTTTAGCCTAATTGTCTGCTAGGGTTAAAATGTGATTTTTTTTTTTTCTATCTGCACTGGTAAGGAAGGAACATGTTGTAACGTGGTCTGGGCATAGTTGTGTTTCTCAGATGTGTTGTAAACATGATTATTTCTATGGCGTTGGTAGGGCCTCACCTGCGAGAGCCCTGTCATCTCCACATACAGAATAGTCCCTCGGGTTAGAGGCCTCTGTTGCTCCAGGGTTTGTGATGTCTCAGATATTCCTAAGGTGAAGATGGACTTCTGTGAGAATCTGGGGTTGATATACTCTGTGTCCCTCTGTCTTGTAGTCCACGGAAGCATTGGAGTTCATGAAGCGGGACCTGACTGAGTTCACCCAGGTGGTGCAGCATGATACAGCATGCACCATTGCTGCCACGGCCAGCGTGGTCAAGGAGAAGCTGGTTGTAAGTAACAGCAGGCAAGCCACGACTCTGCCTCCTGCTCTCATTAGAGAGTAGAGCTGGCTGTCAAACAGGATTCTGGCAGTACACAGACTAATCCTTTCAGGAAATGATGCCTTTATAGCATGACCTGAAATCACATCGCTCTTGGACTTTGAATTTGAACTCCCTTCCCTAATGCAAAGTGTCTGTGATGACCCTAAGTGATTCCCTTGTTATGTCTGCCAGGACTGTTTGATGTCAGTGCCCCATTGACAGTTGTCAAGATCAGACAGGGGAAGGTGCATACTGTGGCTCCCCGAAGGGCCAGCTTCTTCCTTTCCATTTGTGACTCTCAGGGCGGGGGGCCTTTTGGAGCCACAGGCCAGGTTTCTGCACAGTAATGGCAGATGTTGCAAGGGGATGTTCCATTTGCTTGGGGCTGGAGAAGCTCTTAACTGAGAGTGGGACTGTGTGATTAGGGGTGGGAGGAAGATAAGATACCTAGTTGGATCTGCATTTCCTGCTTGGAGACTGAGTGGAACTAATTTCTCTCCTACCCTCTTTGGTTCCCCATTCTCTTTGCTGTTGTGAGGCTTGGAATCAGCTTCACCCTCTGCCTACCTGTGCCACCAGGTGAGGCACAGAATGTTCTGCCTAGGTGTCAGGATAAGCCTGGAGATGGGTTCCCTTTTCCCAGACCCAAAGGAGACCTTTGCCCTGCACAGCTGTTACCATGACAGCACAGCTCCCTATCCTCTCCCCAAACCAGCCACTCTTACCTGCCCCCCACCCCACAGCCCAGGCTAGTTCCCTGCCTATCTGTTGCCATCACCCTGACTAACCACCTACCCCGTCCCCCTGCTCATCTCAGGTCAGCCTGGACTGCACAGTCCCCCGCTACCACCCTTTAAGGAGAGAATTGTCCCTCTTTAAAGGGACACTGACACTGGAAAAGACCACATGGGACTGTCTGCGGTTCAGGCACCATTGTTTAGATCATTCCCTTGTCTTTCTCTTTGCAAAGACGGAAGGCTCCTCGGGCACGACTGAGAAGGTGAAGAAAGGACTCGCTGACTTCCTGGGTGTCATCTCAGACACGTTCGCTCCTTCGCCAGATAAGACCATCGACTGCGATGTTATAACGCTGATGGCAACACCCTCTGGTACTACAGAACCGTACGACAGCACCAAGGTATGTGCTGAGCAGTGTTCCCTCTGGTTTTTCCCCTGCGTGTGTGGAATGAATTTTGTTATGTGCACCAATATGGAGATGATGTGTGACACGTCACTTCCATATTGGTGCATATAACAAAATTCATGTGGCAGTGGTGGGGTCTAGGGGTTTGGAGTATGGAGGGGG